GCGGGCGCCTGCAGGCCACATCACCTAACGGCAAAGGAGCCACTGACCAAACGATGATGCTGTTCACTGCGGTGCTGCCCACCAAGGCGTCTCTCATCCCCTCCACTTCAGCGAAAGCTAAAACAGTTTCTTCGGGGGGCATCAAAGTCTGTCCGTCCTTGCTCCTGAACAGCAGATCAGCGAGTGAGAAAAGGCAGTCGCAACACTAAGCACGTGTTCTGTACTCAGCACAGCGCCAGGAAGAAGAGGAACCTGATGCTTTCCTGCGTCCGGGACGATTCCTTACTCTTCTTCCACCCGCCACGCTGAGACCCCCCCCAGACCAGCAGGCTCACCTTCCCGTCTCCGAGAGCGACACTATCTCCACTTGCTGCTCGTGCACGGTCCTGCTGCTGCTGACCAGCCTCCTCTCCTTCAGCCCAAGAACTGCTTTTATATTTCCAGTTTTCACTAGTGATTGCCTGAATGAGTCACTCTCAGGAGAATAAAGCAAGAGCCTAGATTGAGAGAAGAGCACGCCTAATGACAGCAGGAAGCACAACGCAGACAGGCCACAGCATATGTCGCAGCTGGGGAGCACACTGAGCATGGGGCGGTGAGAGACAGCGGCTCTGTGTATTCCCTTGCTTTTGTATATTCTTCTTATCAGTATTGTTGTTATTGTTCGCTTCCTTTTTCACCCTGTTAAACTGTCCTTATCCCAACCAACGAGTTTTGCCTTTTCCTTCCCGCTCTCCTTCCCACCCCAGCGGGGGGAGGGGCAATAGAATGACCACGTGGCCCTTTTGTTGCCGGCCACGGTCAAACTACAACACATATAAAAATACGCGCATGTTTAAACAGTCTGCCACCTCCAGGGGCAAAACAGCAAGCCTTTATAGTTGATTTTTAGAAATCCCTTCCATATTTTCCAACTGTTAGAGCAACTGAGCAAGTGATGCATTAGTAAGAGCTAATTTCAACCACTACACAAGAGGAGAGTTAAGCCACGGCTATTCAGGGTGTAAAGCGCTAGTAAGAAGTAAATACACCACCTTATTTCTCCAATCTCCAAATCTCCCAGTGCTACACAGACGAGATTACAGGTGTCTGGCAGAGGAACGATCTGTATTACAGGAATCTAGGACAGCAAAACAAGAATTCAGTGTCACCCACAACGTCCCTTTGACTTTATTCCCATTTTCTAGAGTGTTTCAAGTGAAATGACACGGAGCAGAACTAATTTTCAGATCCATATGAAGAAGCACACTTAGGTGTCTGTTGATATGAGAGACAAAAAGTGTCTCCAGGGAGTGTAAGGGGAAAGAGCACAGGTCAGTGGCTTGCAGCCACCACTCAGTACACGAAGCAGGCAGCACGCGACCACATGAGCTACTGGCCTTCTCCATCAGCAGTGCAAATCATTCTCTGATGGAATGAAAAATTTACGCCACCTAAAGAACCTACCTTGCACTCCAGACTGCAGGCTCCTTGTATCTCAGGAACTAACAGACCAGGACAAGAAAGTTACCCTAAATTCTAGAAATAAGGACTGTGCTCGTACCTCTCCGAGCTGCCAAGCGTAGACCTTTCCCCAGCGGTCGGATGCCAGAGGCTTCCAGAGGGAGACAGAGCTCTCACAAGCAGTCACCACCCACAGCTCTCTGCTGCCGGCTGCTTCCCACCACATGCTACTCACATCCACAGCGCAGGAACTCGAAGAATCCTGTCCAAAACAAAACAGCGCTGGTTTTCTTCTGACAGACATCGTTAACCTGGAGGTTCAGCCTGAGAAAAACGTTTGACATTCAGTGTGATGAGAATTTGAGGCTAAAACTCAGCGCTTACGATGTGTAATTTCGAGCGAAGTGCCAGTAAGGCACCAAGGAAAACCAGCCTGGGGGGTTTCACCCTCAGAGCAGCAAACGTACCCGCTCACTTCACAGAAATCTCTTCTCCTTTGCAATGACAGGGACTCGGCAGCGCCTGGCGCTGGGACAGGACTGGGGGTACCGCGGCACAGCCACAACAAGGTCCAAGTGCCACCTACTTGCAGTCACACACTTGCTTCCCTTGTTGCACAAACGCGAGACAGGACTTGTTGTGCACAGACCGAGTTTAACAGTGAACAAAGCAAGGGCCTTCTCTTCTCCCTTGCAAAAAAGCTTTCAGCTTCAGCCGTGTTGTTGCTGGCTGGTTACGCTAAGCCCCCAGGCTTGCTTCTGGAGCAAAACTTTGCACTTTGCTTCAGAAAAGCTAGAGGTGACCCAGCCCCTGGCAAGCTCATTTGGAGTTCACTGGGCTTTCCCACAGACGTTGCTTCTTTGCCTGCCAACCAGTTTCTCCCCGCTGCAAGACAGAGGACAGTGGAGGGACACCGCTGCAAGAAGAGCCGATGGCTCAGCTGTGCAAACAGTCCCGGGCAAGATTTGCCTTGGTCACAGCCTGTGCAATCAAGGCTCCGTTCCAGAACGGTGTGAAAATCAACACGTGTATTTGGCAGCGTTCCTCACAGCGTTACTGCGTGCCTGAAACGGGGACAGGAGGCCACCGGTGCCACGGGGCAGGCAACAGGGGGACAAGGGCAATTTCACCCGGGTCTGACGGAAAACGCAGCAGTTCTGTTTGTTAAGACATTTGCATGTGCTTAGACATTCATTATTCAGCAACAAACGCTGAAATCCTTGATCAGTCAAAAGGAGCTATACAGCAATCTAACCTTTCAGCATGCTTTACCACAAGTGAAGACAGAACTGCCCAAACTGGACAGCAGCCTGTTTTGTTCAGTTAGCCATTCTGCACTTTTTACTGCATTTTTGTTAAACTTGGTACTAAAGAGCTGCTACTGACTCAGTAAACAACGATCCAGTGTTATCCCACCTTCAGCTTTGATACAAGCTGCAAGCTCTCTTCACTCAGGCCATCAAGCAGTACCGGAGTCAACTGTTCTGCTACATCTTCTTTCTGCACAAACAAGAAAGCAATGAGGATAATTAAACTCCGAAATTACATTCAGCACCTACAAGAATGAGGCAGAAGCACGAGTTCACTCTGCACGCAGCTACTGGACTGCTACGGCAGGAGCACGTCTTTTTGTACTCGCATGTCTCTGAAAAACCAGAGATCCCAGACAGGCTATTCCCTGGTTTCACCTGAATATTGGCTTTTGCTGCCACTGCGCATCTCACCCTCCTCCCAGCACCCATCCGCATGAGAGGCATTTAACCTCCTTTACCAAATCTTAGCTGAAAATTTTCCTTAAGGCAGACCAACCCGACGTGGGTACCAGAAACTTTTTGTTCAGGTACACATTTCAAACGTGCATCCCGCAGCAAGCATCGAAACCCTCATCTCCAGCGTCACCAAACAGGATTTCAAAGAATTTGCTCTTGAGGTCAAAAGACCTGAGGCAACAGATGAACACCAAACATTTACCAAGGCAGCTAAAAAACACCGTGCAGGGCTGGCACGCAAAGAGGTCTTTCCCCTGAAGTCAGGTGAGACTCTGGAGAGGGGGATTCGCCCACAAACCCACTGGCTTAGCACCCCTGGCAAAGAGGACAGCTTGCTACCTGTTCAGGAGAAGCTCTGCAGGATCTCTGCTGCTTGCTCTCTGACTGCTGATGCTTCTCCAAGGCCACAGCCTCATCAGGTTTATCACTGGGACCGCTTTCAGCATCTAAAGAAAACGTTGTACCTTGTTCCTCCTCTCTTCTAGCAGATCCTGCACCGCAGCTGTCCAAGTGCAGCGGAACGGCGGAGCCTCGGCATTTGCCATCACCCACGACCGCGGCAGACGCTCCTTGGGAGGAAGGCAGGCTCGCGTGCGAGGGAGGTGCAGAAGGTGTACCGGGGAAGACCTCACCGCGCACCGACGGTAACACAGCCGGGGTTGCACCCACGACAGGGAAAACCGACGAGGAAATCTGAGACTCGGGCTGAGTGGGAGCACCAGCGAAGACAGTCCCCATGGGAGTAAACAGCAATTCACGGGTGGAAAGCTCCTTCTTGGAAGCTGGGCTTTCTACGTGAGGTAACTCGGGCAGTCCACTTCTGAAAGGTGAACTCAAATCACTTTTGAGTCCTTTTTCTTCCAGATTCATTTGGGCATCCTCTGAAGCCACACCATGTCCAGACACACTAGGAACGAAAACCTCCAAGTCATTCACAGGGGAAGATTCTAATTTCTCAAGTTTTAGTAGTCCAAATTCCTCATCCGGAAGGTGAAAGTCCCTGACACCCAGTCTGGAGGCCAGCCACTGGAGACTGCGGAAGGAGAAGAGAGAGCCGCAAGCATCGGGGTCCACGGCAGGGAGGCCAAGAGAAGCCGGACCCTCTGAACCCGGCGGATAGCTACGTCCTCTTTTGCTGTCATCTAGACAAAGAAAAACACAACGATATGAGAACATCACATCATAAAACAACCAGCAGCTAGCTTTTCAGAATCTCTCATCCAGAGGGTCACGCTAATCTATTTTCAAAAAAAGCCATCTCCATCTTAAGACATGGCAGTGGCACTTTTCTGGAAAGACATTACACTCTGCATTGCTCCGCACCGAGCCTCTGGCTCAAACGTCATTGCCCAAGGCTGCCAGAACCGACCGAGTGCTCGGTCCGTTTGTCTGGTTTGGTTTTCCCCCAACACTTTCTCTTTTCACTGTACTCACGGACCCTCAGACTCTAATGCTACTCTTTGCGTTTCAGACTTGTCAGCACTAAAAAACCCCAAAATCATTAACATGCAGACTTCATTGGAGACACAGGGATTTCCACCCATGTGCTGGGAATCAGGTCCAAGGTGCAGAACCTCTGCCCCAACAGCAAAGCAGCTTCAGAAGCTCTCAGCCCTGCTCCTCACCCATGCATGGCTCTTCACTCCCCACCGCTGGGCTGAAGCAGAAGTTTCTGGAATTGTGCAAGGAACATGGGCACCACAATCATCTGTATTTTTAAAAAAGCTCTCGTCTTTAAAAAAAAAAAAGTGTTAACCAATCTAAGATTTTTTTGAATAAAAAAATACAGCAGGGTGTGAACAGCAGTGCACGCACTCTCCTGCCTTGCCCTCGGGCTCTGGTTTTAGGGACGGCTCGTACCTGACAAAGTACCTTTGGAGACTTGGCTGGCCCTCTGCCTGCCAGAGGAACGCAGGGAGCGGCGCGGGGCGACACGGAGCGCCAGGAGCTGCTCAGCCCTGCGGGCTCCTTGCACGTGCTGGTTCTTGACACGCTCTGCTGGAGGTTTAGCGGCCGGAGACACAGTTAAGCTGGCTTCCAGATCTCCTAGATGGCTGGCAAAAGTTTCATTCCCTGGGGCCAGAGACTTGCTGTTCTGGAGCGGAGTCTGAACCGGTTCTAACAGAGTCTTACGGCACTGGCCAGGCACCTAGC